CAGAGTCCAAGACTCTTCCTGTTTTAGCCAGTAGCTTAAATCACATCTTCACAACTAGACAAACCAGATTCATTCCTGTTTATGATTAAACCTCTGTTTCTCAAGGATTGGGCCATGCCCACCTGTAACCTTCACTACAAATGGTTCTGTACTGCCTGTTCCAGGGAACAGCAACCTTGCCCGGGTTTCAAAAGTTTTTATAACTATCTTGAAACTCTGCCTTTGTTTCAAAAGGTTATGACTACCTTGTTCTGCTGCTCCTGTAGCTACCCCCCAATTTGCCTGCCAGATCCCCCATTTGAAACTCCCCTACACCTGAGCTATAAAAACTCGTACCTTGTACATGTTGAATGCTGACCTCTTGAACCCTGTATTAGGGGGAGGCAGCCTGTGTACACAAACTTTAAAAAGCTTGCTTTTATTAATTGCTTGCTTAAATTCATTTGGGTCGGTGGTCTTTCTCCTTGCATTTTTGGGATTAACACCCCCTCCCTTCTCTTAATTACATGACTTGCTTCTCATGGCACAGTTTTTCTTTATGCTCAAGAGCTCTCTTCCCAAAAGGAGTGAAGACAGGAAGGGGTGGGACCTCTGAAGGAAGCCATCATGCCCTTAGCCCTGCACTGTTCAGTGAGGGTTCTTTAATCTATGTATTCTAAAGTGATGCATATTCGATGAACTAAGATTAACATTGCTCTTGTCCCAATGCATCCAATCAATTTTGGAAGGCAACTTCATTGGTGTAGGCTGTGTTCTCCTCGGCATTCACACTCTCAGGCATCAGATGGGTGGGAGATTGTCCTTTTGCCTCTTCTCTCATTAGCTATTCCACCAGCTTCACCTGGCTAATCATTATGCTCACCTCCACTAGGGACCTTCTAGAGGCTCCCATGAGCCCACAGTTCTAGGAGTTCCTATAAAGGCAGTATAAAACATCCTGCTTTCTTTCCAGTCCCCAACTTGGAAGATGCCAATTTGTTAGCATTCTTGGTGGACTCTAACAATGAGTAAAGTGCTATCTGAGGAGACAAGCCACAGTGATCTTTTTGTCTCCTTATTGGGTCATGACTCAGCCCTCAGGGACTTTCCTTTTCAATGCTTTCAGATTTTTGTTTTTTAAAAAACCTAAATATATTAACTGGACCTCTTCCAGGTAAAAAGTCATTTGCCATTCTGTGCCCTCTCAGAGAGTCCTAAGTGCTTCCTAAACTCTATCCCACCCCCTTGATTCTTCTTATCTAGGAAGAAGTAAATATCATTCCCAAACAGAAAGGTTATGAAAAATGACATCATTGGCAAACATTGTTGCCAATGTTTGGTGTTGCTTTGGGATTGCTTCAAGTTTAGTGAAGCTGATGGCTCAGTACGGAGTTGGCACTTTTTGTCTATACTCACTGCAGAGACTTGGTTGTCATCATCTTCCTGGACCCATCACACTGTGGCCATGCTTGGTCGTAACCCCTTGAACAGTACTTATGGGGCCCTGGCAGGCATTGTAAGGAGCATGTATGTGTGTGTGCATGTGTGCTCCTATGTATGAGTTGTAATAGCATGTAAGAGTTGTAGATTCATGTAGAGGCCAAGACAAGCTCGGTATTCCTCAGTAACTGTCCACCTTGTTTTCTTTTCTTTTCTTTTTTTATTGAGAAAAGGAAAAAAAGTTTCAGCCTCCTCCCAGCCTCCCATTTCCCTCCCCCTCCTCCCACTCTTCTTCCCCTCCCCCCACTCCTCTCCCCCTCCCTCTCCAGTCCAAAGAGCAGTCAGGGTTCCCTGCCCTGTGGAAAGTCCAAGGTCCTCCCCCCTCCGTCCATGTCTAGGAAGGTGAGCATCCAAACTGGCTAGGCTCCCACAAAGTCAGAACATGAAGTAGGATCAAAACCCTGTGCCATTGTCCTTGGCTTCTCATCAGCCCTCATTGTTCGCCATGTTCAGAGAGTCCGGTTTTATCCCATGCTTTCTCAGTCACAGTCCAGCTGGCCTTGGTGAGCTCCCAATAGATCAGCCACACTGTCTCAGTGGGTGGGTGCACCCCTCGTGGCCCTGACTTCCTTGCTCATCTTCTCCCTCCTTCTGCTCCTCATTGGGACCTTGGGAGCTCAGCCCAGTGCTCCAGTGTGGGTCTCTGTCTCATGCTCAACCTCCTTAGCAATCAGGGAAATGCAAATCAAAACAACTTTGAGATATCATCTTACACCTGTCAGAATGGCTAAAATCAAAAACACCAATGATAGCCTTTGCTGGAGAGGCTGTGGAGGAAGGGGTACCCTCATCCATTGCTGGTAGGAATGCAATCTTGTGCAACCACTTTGGAAATCAGTGTGGCGGTTTCTCAGGAAATTCGGGATCAACCTACCGTTGGACCCAGCAATACCACTCTTGGGAATATACCCAAGAGATGCCCTATCATATGACAAAAGCATTTGTTCAACTATGTTCATAGCAGTATGATTTGTAATAGCCAGAACCTGGAAACAACCTAGATGCCCTTCAATGGAAGAATGGCTGAAGAAAGTGTGGAATATCTACACATTAGAGTACTATGCTGCGGTAAAAAACAATGACTTCTCGAATTTTGCATGCAAATGGATGGAAATAGAAAACACTATCCTGAGTGAGGTAACCCAGACCCAAAAAGATGAACATGAGATCTACTAACTCATAATTGGTTTCTAGCCATAAATAAGGGTCGCGGAGTCTACAATTGCTGAATCCACCTTGTTTTCTAAAACAGGATCTCTCTCACTAGTCTGTGACTTGCTGAGTAGGTGAAGCCCCTGGGAGTCACCTATCGTCCCTGTCTCTCTGGGGACAGGTCTATAAGCATGTGCCACTGTCTGGGTGTGGCAGTTTATGCCTTAAATCCTAGCAGAGAGGACGCAGAGGCAGATAGATTTCTATAAGTATGAAGTTAGCCTGGTCTACATGGCAAGTTCCAGTCTAGCCAGGGCTGCATAGCGAAACCCTGTCTCAAAACAAAACAAAACCCAACCAAACCAAAAGAAAAACACACATATGCCACCATATTTACCTGCTTTTTTGGGATGGTGGGATCTGAACTCAGGCCCTTATGCTGGCCTATCAAGTACTTTATTGAATGAGCTATATTATAGCTTGATTTATTAATGTTAATATTGGAGACAGTCTTCCTATATACCTATTCTGGATCCAAGTTCATCCCAAGTGCTGGCATTACAAAGTATGATATCACTTATAGTCATATTGTTGATTTTTTAAGCTGTCTAACACTAAGAGAACTCATGTAGCCTTGTGTCCCCTTGGATGAGATAGCTTCTCCCTATAGCTCACTTGCATAATTCCGGTGCCTTTACCATTACTTCCTCTGGGCCATTTCACAGAAATGCTGGAGGACGAGGTAGCTCCCAATTCACTTCTACTTTCTGTCGACCAGATGTGAGAGGAGAGGAAAGATCTCTTCCCTGGGCACTCAGGAGTTGGTGCTTCCATGTCAGCTCTGTGGGACAGGGAGAGAGTTCATTTTTTCCTAGAAGGTACCAGTTAGAGTTTGAGGAGTATGTGGCCCCGTGCTCAGCTTTTCCGAAGCGCCCAGAGAAAGAATGGAGGATGTAACAACAGAGGACAGCTATGGGCATCCGGGCCAGAGCTTTTCAAAGCGTCCGACATAAGGTCGATTCTGAAAGGAAAGGAGAGGAGGGACGCTGCTTTCAAACCATTACATGTGGCCGGCACACTATTGACTGAGCAATCTTCCCAGCCTGCGGTTTTGTTCCTGCTGCCTTGTTTTGAAGACAGTCTGCAGTCCTGAATTGCCACTGCTCCAGAAGGTGCCTAAGAGGTGGCAAGGCAGAAACTGGGGAAGGGCTTTGGTTCCTCCTCCCGTTGCTGACTCCTCTCCTTTACCAGGCCCTGAGGTGGCTTACGTTACAGCTGGCTGGAGCGGCAGGTCAGCTAACTCAGGGCAGAGCCTGGTCTGTGCTCTGGTCTGGATTCCCTCACTTGCCTCTTCGTTCTCAGTTGTTGCGCCTAAAAAAAATGGAGAGGGTGATGCCCAGCTCGAAATGTCACTGTGCTGTGACTGTCATGTCACAGGACTAAAGGACAGAGCAGGATTAGCACCGCAGAAACCGCAGAAGCTCCAGCTCCCACCTTCCCCTCTCCGCTCCCCTAACCTCACCACACATCTATCCACTGAACAACTCATTCTCCAACCCTTCCTCCTTTAACACGAAAAGCTTTGCCCACCATAAAACATTAGGAAATAGTGATGGATTTGGGGATTTTCAGGGAAGAATGGTGTATGAGCACGCAGTCTGCTCATTTGCCTTGTAGATAGATTCTAATGACTTTTCGCCACAAAACCCACTTGAGGTTCTGTTAAATAAAGAACTAATGCCACTTTGCTCTTTTCTCTCAACCCCTTTTTTTCACTCATGCAAATCAGAAACATTCGTCCTCTGTGGCTCCCTGGCCTCTTGGATATGAGAAACCCATCACGCAGCGTTTTTTTTTTCTCCCCTCCCTGAAAATAGCATAATTGTCAAGTACTCGTAACTTCTGAGTGCAATTTCAACCCTCTCATTGATAAGGCAATAACCCAAGCAAACAACATCAGATGAAGTCGCAAGCCTGAGTGTGGGGATGGAGGCAGTATTTGAAAGAGATGAATCGAAGTTCCCTATAAAGTTGCACAAATTCTTACCAGCAGAACAGACTTTGGATAGAGCTATTAGACTGAGCCATTAAGCTGCCTGGCTTCTAGTTCATCTTCCAGAGAGCCTTGGCATGGACTTCCTACAGTATTCAGGCTCCTCAGATATGGCTCCGCTTGACAGAAAATGCACATCACAGTGCCTCAGTCAGCTCAGTCTGTTTGTGCCCTGATTGGTCCTCCTTGGCTCATCTTTCTGCTGAGTGTCATGGAAGCCTACGATGGACTTCTGTTTGAACCGTTGTCGAACGACAACTCTAAGATCCATCCTATGCACAAGGGTCAGTGGTCTCTCCTTTGTTTTTGTGTCCAGGTCACAGTTCCGTGGAGTCACCCAAAGGAATGCCTTCTCCTCCTGATAACTTTGTGTGGAATCTGACCTGGACAATGAAGGACTCCTTTCCTTTTCTGTCCCATCGCAGCCGATACGGTAAGTGTATGTTTGACGGTTGTCTGTGATACACTGTCACTATTGTTTGGTTACAGAAAGTCTGAGATTCCATTTGTGATCGTTAGTGATCCAGGAGTCCCTCAGTCTCCTATAGCAGATCACATCCACTGTACCCTCTGTCCCTCAAGGATGCTCAAGGATACCATCAGACCATTCAACTAAGATGTTTATATTGCTTGTGAGTCCTGGAGGAAGCCAAGGGCTTTGTGGTTCTCATATTCCATCCTCCAAGCCTTCCTGGTACATGGACTCCTGATATCCCTTCACCATTCTTTTGATGGAACATTTATTTATATCTGATTGTAGCTTTTGGATTTAACGTTCTGACTTTAGCATCCCTACGGACCTTGTTCTCCTAAGAGGGGATTGTAATTAGGAAGGGCACAGGTCTTCCAGGGTCCCTTCAGTGCTCCATCTTATCTGGCTAACTTCTGTTCTCAGACAGGTTATTTGACATTATCTCTGCTCACTTGATTGTGCAACAGCCTCAGAGGTCAAGAGAACTGGTCCAGTTCCAGTGTTTACAGGAACTAATCTTCACAGTGGGCGCTCTAGCCACAAAGCTGGGATTTCTTGCTTATAGTCTTCTTCCCCCAAGAGGCCACCAACTCCTTCTGTGAGCTATTGTACTGTGAGCCCTCAGGAAGTTGACTCATTCTCAGAGCTCCAGCCTGAAAGCTTGCTGTGGAGGGGGCTCTGTCATTGGAACATCAGGGTTAGAGGAGAATTGTGACTTTTCCAGAAAACACCTTCATTTCTTCAGCTCTCTTGGTATAAGCCCCTCAAGGTCAGGTAATATGTTTATGCCCCCATTTTATTCTTTCTCTGGAAGATACTGCTAAAGGCTTATTTATGTATGATGAATGGATGCAGAAGGCTTCCTGATACAGAATTCTCTCATCAGACCTAATTCAATTAAGTATTTATGAACCCAGTACAGCGCTGAGTTCTAGATGCCCTTCTGGGCATATTTACCTATTCCTGCTTCTTAGTCTCTGCCCTTGGGCCTAACCTATTTAAAGCACACCTAACAGAGATGTTCCACCCCTGTAGAAGCCCTCCAGTCGGAAGCCTGCCATCCCTCCCCTCACCTATTACACAGTTAGTCTTGGCTTTTATTAATGGCACCTTTCATTTCAAATTGAAAGAAAGAAATGCATTAAACCCCCGTGGGCAGTTTGGGATTCTACTCTGAGCTGAGATGCAGCTTGCCACTTCTAAGTATCCCTAGGGGGAGGGAAGACTCGGTGGTTCTTTGGGAGATTCCACAGATGGGTTGCTTCATGATTTTATTTAAACTAGACGCACACACGAATGCCATCCTATGATAAGACCAAGTATCTGTAAATAATTGAAAGCTGGTCCTTTGTGCAGTTGGTGTTGTCACCAAGGTCGCTAGACATACAGTATAACTGGTCTTCAGGTAACACTCAGAGTACCCGCTCAGATTCATTCACTGTCTCTATAGGAAAACTTTAATGAAGTTTAGAATGTCTAAAAGTCTAGCTCATGTGTGTCATAGAAAACAACTATTGGTTCCCTATGGAGGCCATTGAAAGAGGGAGAAAGCCATGGGGGCTTATGAGGACTCAATTAGCTACCACTTGCACTTGGTAAACCCACTTCCAATCTCGGAGCCCCGCCTTCCTGGTCAGTACATTGAAAGGCTGAGATAATGGTGGTAAAATATAGATCAAGATGTTTCTTAAGATCTCTTTCAAACTGTCCTCATGGCCCAGAACCTTATGATTTCCCTTCTTTGTTGAGTAGATTCAAACCATAGGTCAGTTAGTGTCCAAATGCTGGACCAAGGTGTCACCGTCAGTGTCATTATTAGTGTTGATTCATGGGAGAAGGACTGGTGGCTCCTTGATGAACTTTAGTGATGTTTTCAGATCCTTTCTATCTTTTGGCCGTATTTAATTCTGTGGGACTCAGGGAGACTGCATGGCCTCCATCAAGACTTACACTTCCATCTCCATAGCTGTGTGGCTAGCCCCATGCCGGATGCTGGAGCTGATGTAAACTCAAAAGTCCAGAAGACTGGTCCCTGACCTCTCAGAGTTAATAGGCCAGATAAATAATTCTGTAGGCAGCTAATCCCTTTGCCAGTGAGTGACACTGAAGATTCACCCTGAGACCTGTCACAGAGAAAGCTAATGGCAGACCTAAGGCCAGACTCTTAGCTCCCAACGGTGTTTTGTGGGGGTTCAGCCTACATGTCTATGAATCAAAAAGGCCAGCAGGCTTGTAGGTGATAAATCCATACCTTTCATCTGCCAGGAAAGACATTTTAAGAAATGTTAACAACTTCATTAATTTTAAGTCCTCAAACATGGACAGAGAAATTTGACTGGAAAATTGCTGCCCGAAGGGGTAGCTCTGCAGATTGAGAGAGACCATGGAGTCTTGGTCAGCGTACTGAGGAACTTCACGTTCCCTTGTCTGGCTTAGGTGGCATCCTGGTGGACAGGTGGGGGCAGCGAGAGCAGCATCAACAAGCCACCCACGGGTGACGTGATTGACAGCGACAAGCCAGTCCTCTCTCAGGCAAGCTGTCCACCCTGAGTGGAGAGTGGCTTTCTTTTTGCTGGCATTTTATAGGAAGAGACGAGGTAGAAAGAGGCTAATAAGATTTACTCACCCCTTGCCTGTGATTATCTGCTTGAGGAAAAAGTTTGACCTACCTTTTTGAAGGCCTCCAATATTTCTTCTAATTTACGTCGGGGCCTTTTCTGTTGTATAAAATATATTCTCTTCAGTGGCACTCAGTATCAGATTCCAGCTCTCTCTGGCCTCTGTCTTGAATGACGATAGCCCGCTAATTTTATCATGGGGAGCTGAGAGCTGCACATTCCTCTCCAAAGGCTTGGAAACAGGGAGGACATCTGAAGACAGATTTTTCCTCCTCGTATTTCCTTTTATCATTGGCTCTTAGGTCTGTGGACTTAATTATGGGCTTGGCTGAGGGATTAGCCTCTGAGTTGGAGCTCAGCTACAAATGTCCTTCCTCAGGGCCCCCAGGATGCTCTAAGAATACAGTCGGGCTTGCAAAAGGAAGCCTGATCACCTTGGGTTCTAGAGTCACAGAGACAGATGGTGCTCTTCCTAACTTTAACTCTCATGTTTGCCCACTCTGGTGATAAGGAATCAATGAGGTATTTTATTTCATTACCATATGTATGCATGTTTTATGCACCAGTATGTTCACGTGTGTGCAAGCGCATATGTGTGAATGTCAGAGGCCAACTTTGGTGGTCATTCTTAGGAACACTGTCTACATCTTTTGAGACAGGCTCTCTCATTGGTCTGGAGCTCCCCAGTTAGACTAGACTGGCTAACCACTGGGTCCTAGTAATCCTCCTGTCACCGCCTCCCCAGCGCTGGGATTCTATGCATGGGCTATCATGCTGGCATTTTGCTCCTATTTGTGGAGCGAAACACCCTACTGACTGAGCTATACCCCAGCCTCTGGATCAATATTTTAAACAGAATGCCTGAAGATTCTTCCCCAGGTGACCGAGACAAAGGGTATTTTCATTTGTTGTTTTTCAAAACTGTGGTACTTTACAAAATCCTCTCCCATGCATTTTTGCTCATTTAAATGTCATTATGAAATTACAGCGGTAGGAAATTATTCTATTTTCCAGGTTTACAGAAATGTCAATGGAAAGCGGAAGGAGTTTATTCGTAGGGCTCTTAAGCTACAGAGGGGTGAACTCAAAAACCTCAGATTCTCTCATCCCATGCTGTGTGTTCTGACACATCACAAAGCTGTTTCAAATTGGGCCACAGAGAGCTCTTCCTGAATGACCCAGCATTGGAGCTGAATGATCAGGCTGATGTCTAAAACCTTGGCTATCTGTAGAACAAACATTTGATGTCTCGGAATTGAAACCATTCCTGGCAGGCTAGGCAATTCACCTCCCAGGAAGCATGTGGGTTGTGTCACTTGGCACTATAAACAATCTTATATACTTACTTACTTTTCCATTTCAGACCGTGGTCCTTATTATGGGTCGCATTGTGTTACCCCCAAAGATGTTCAAGTCCTAAGGCCCCAGTACCTGTGAATGAGACTTTATTTAGCACAGTATCTTTGCAGCTGTAATCAAGTTTAAACGATGACACAGGGATTCGCTGTGCCCAGATGTCATGTGGCTTCTGGACTTATAAGTAGAGAAACCGCAGACACAGATATCCACCAGGCGAATATCCTGTGACTGAGAATTCAGAGACTGCAGCCATGCTTTGGATGCCAATGAAGACCAAGGATGCTGGCAGGAATACAAGCTAAAAGAAAGGTATGGATTGGTGCCTCCTCCAGACCTTTAAAGGCAACATGGACCTGATGGGTGCTTGATTTCAAAGATCTGGCCCCAGATCCATGGGAGAATAACATTTTCTTATTTTAAGGAGTCCAGTTGGTCTTTGTTAAGTCATCCCTAAGAATAAAGTTCAAACCTCCACCCCCACCAAACTCACAACAATCTCACTAAGTGAAATATTCCTCCTGACACCCGAGCATAAGAAGACATTGTTGGCCTTTGAATAAATTTCTATTGAAACTTTGTCTTCTTTTGGGACCAGAGGGACCGATCTAATTTAGGGACTGGTGCTTTTGGAGAGAAAAATTAGACTTTTTAATTACTTCCCCTGCTACCACCACCATCTGACTTGTTAATGTATCAATTTCTTCGATTGAAAAGACTGGGTCAATTAAATCTATCTCTCAAAAAAAAAATTAACCTAACACAGAGTCAGAAGTGGGAAACAGAAGGACTCTCTAGTTCCCCTGTGGGAATGACTTCAGCACTCGAGCAGGAAGTCAGTTTGATCACATTTCTGGAATTACATATTTAATATGACTGCCTACAATCAGCCATTCCGGCCTTCAGGAGCCTGGCGTCACTGAAAGGCAGCCCCCATCCTCCTCCATGAGCCATTGTCAGGCTGAAAGTTTCCTTCGTGACTCTTCT